GGCAAATCAAATCCTCACAACATTCTGAATTTTCCACAGATTTAGTAGCTTTTGGTTTGTTTCAAAGATCAAACTAACATATCCAGATCAGATCAGGGCTGTGGTTTACTGAACCATGTGTTTTTTTGATCCCAATACGTTTCACCATGACTGGAAACATGAAGACCTTAAAACTAAACCCACCACAGTGGATTAGACTAGGTGTCATCATGAGACACTGAACAAATGTTTCTGCATTTTATCAATCAATCAATCAATCAATCAATCAATCAATCAATCAATCAATCAATCAATCAATCAATCAATCAATCAATCAACCAATCACATCTTTATTCCAGACACAAAAAAGGTCCATAGTAAAAAGGTAAAAACAAGCAAAATAAGAGAAAAATAAAAATGACAAAACTCACAATTTATTGTCATAATGAAGAGAAAAAGTTCCACATTTCTCTGTAATCAAGTTGTTTTATTGAAGAAAACCAAAGAGAGATGCAGACATGAATTTTTCTCATTTAAATCTAAGGAATTTAGAATAAAACAGCATAATTTCTAAGTTGATTTTCTGTGTTTTCTTTGGATCACAATAAGGAAAACAGAAGCAAGTCCAGTTCACTTCAATTCCAAATGATTTAAACAACATTTGTTTTGTAGAACAACTGAAAATAAACCAGAATATTAAAAAAATCTGTACAAATATTAAAGCTATCAGAGCCCAGACAAGTTAGACGTTCATGTGGAGAAATATTTCTGTATCATATAATAATGAAAGAAAACATCAGCAGTGATATCCTGGAACACAGAGAACTTCATTTAAACCAGAGAAGAACCGAACAGCAGAGACATCAGAACCATGAACCCGGATCCACCAGAGAGAGGAGAGGGACTCTAGTTGGGTTTACTGAACTCTGCAGAGCTTCCTAAACCAACCCCAACCCCAGCGTGAAGCGGCTGACTGAATGTGGTCTGGACTCTGTGGATCAGCGTCATGGTTTCTGAGACGCAGTAGAAGGACAGAAGACCTGCTCTGAGGTCCAGATACACCCCCAGTCTGGAGGAAACTGGACCTGAGATGGAGGTCCAGATGCTTTTGTGAACAAATTTAAAACCTTTTTGTTGACAATCTAAAGCCCAAGATTTGTCATTGCGTCCAAATCTACATTCAAGCTCACCTCCTGCTCTGCTGATGTTCTTGTAGGCGACAGCAACACAAACCGACCCGGTCCACTTCACCTCCCAGTAACAACGTCCAGTCAGACTCTCTCTGCTCAGAACCTGAGAATAATTAGTGAATCTGTCTGGGTGACTAGAATAAAGCTGATGTTGATTCATCCTCGTCACCTTCCTGTTCCCCTCTGACAGGCCCAGCTGTGTGTGTGTTGAGTTTGGATCCAGAGTGATTTCACATGAATACTTTAAGAACCCAGCTCTGCTCTTTGGTTCTGGTTCTGACAGTAGAACATCCACCTCACCGACCATCAGTGAGATGTTTGTCCATGAGTCTCTCAGGACGTCCTGTAGTTTCTCTCTGAGCTCTGACACAGCTGCTGTCACGTCCTCAAAGTGTCTCAGAGGACGGATGTTGATGCTGGATGAGTGTGTCGACTCACTGAGTGCTGGCAGTGAGGGGTAGTTGAGGAGAAACTGGTTGTGATCCTCTGTGTGTGAGAGCTGCTCCAGCTCAGCGTCTTTCCTCTTCAGCTCAGTGATCTCCTGCTCCAGCTTCTCCTGAACATCTTTGACTCGACTCACTTCAGTTTCCTGCTGGGATCTGATCTGCTGCTTCACATCAGAGCTTCTTTTCTGGAGGAGACGGATCATGTCAGTGAAGATCTTCTCACTGTCCTCCACTGTTTTATCAGCAGAGTGATTGATGGCCTCCACCTCCTGCTGAAGCAGCTTCACATCTTTCTCTCTGTCCTGGATTCTCTGCTGGATGTTTCCTCGTCTCTCCTCCAGCTCTCTCTGCCTCTCAGTCCTTTCTGCTGCAGCTGAGACTGTCTCATGGCCTCTATGTTCATCCATGGTGCAGAGATAACAGATACACTTCTGATCAGTGCGGCAGAAGATCTCCAGCAACTTATCATGCTTAGAGCAGAAGTTTTCCTGGAGGTTGTTGGACGGCTCCACCAGCTTGTGTTTCTGAAATGCAGCTGAATCATAATGAGGCTGAAGGTGTTTCTCACAGAAAGAGGCCAAACAGATTAAACAGGACTTCCTGGCTTTCAGTTTTCTTCCAGTACAGGAATCACAGGCCACATCTTCAGGTCCAGCATAGCAGTGGTCAGCAGGAGCAGCTTGGAGTCCAGTCTTCCTCATTTGCTCCACTAAAGCTGCAAACATGGTGTTTTTCTTCACAGCAGGCCTCGGTATGAACGTCTCCCTGCACTGAGGGCAGCTGTGGATCCTCCTCTGATCCTCTTCATCCCAGTGGGTTTCGATACAGCTCATGCAGTAGCTGTGTCCACAGGGAATGGTCACCGGATCCTTCAGTAGATCCAGACAGATCGGACAGGAGAAAGTTTCTTGGTCCAGCTGATTCTGCTCCATTCCTGCTCTCAGTCACAGTGACTGTGTGATTCGACCAGCTTTCACCTTCAGCAGACAGAAGGCGTGTTTCAGAGCAGGAAGAAGAGGAATATCAGGTTTAACTGTCATCACAACATTTCTTTGTTCAAAACAACTGACTTATCAAAACTTAGAAATCTAAAATGTAATCAGTTCACTGAAGGCATCTGCAGCTGGTGTGTCTCTGCAATGCTGTGACAGCCTCAGAAAATGAAAGGACGGGTCAGGGGCGTCTTTCTTTTCAGTATCGCAACTGGATTCTGTGGGAGCTTCAGCAAGGCAGAAAACAGAGTGAGCCGCATGAACGATATGGATTGCTTTTTAATAAATGCGAACCCGACCCTGGGTCACGCCCCAGGTGATCCTGAGCGCACCAGGCAAGCAGCCAGGTTGGACTCCTGATGTCCAGCCAGGCCTCTGGGAAATGTCCCAGTGTTCCTGATGTCCAGCCAGGCCTCTGGGAAATGTCCCAGTGTTCCTGATGACCAGCCAGGCCATTGGGAAATGTCCCAGTGTTCCTGATGACCAATCAGACCGTTGGGAAATGTCCCAGTGTTCCTGATGACCAGCCAGGCCATTGGGAAATGTCCCAGTGTTCCTGATGACCAATCAGACCGTTGGGAAATGTCCCAGTGTTCCTGATGACCAATCAGACCGTTGGGAAATGTCCCAGTGTTCCTGATGACCAAT